GGAATTTAGGTTGCCAAGCGATGCAGTCATTAAACGAATTATGTGACTGCTTCACTTAGTGACTGCAATCCCAGAATTCCTGGCTGCTGTCGTTAAGTGAGAATCATGGGTCGTTAAGTGGACAGAGCCCCAGGTAAGGAGTGCAGGGATGCCTCGGGTGGGGGAGACCCTGGGTGGCGTGGCTTAGACCACGCGCAAGTTGGGGGAGTGCTGCAGTGCAGCTCAAAGCCTCAACTGCTCCTGGAAGCCTCAGTCACCCCAGCAGCATTTACAACTGCAAGGGTGCTGCAACTCTCCCCACCTGCCTATCTCCTACCATCTATGCCCTTTTGGCCACCCTGCACAGCAGCACTTGGTGGCAGTGCCAGGGCTGGGGCTGAAGTAGAGGCCAGAGGCCTTCAGCAGTCTCAGCCAGCTGCTACCACCCCCAGGCCTTGACTTCAGATCCAGAGCCGTTGCTGCCACTGAGAAGTGCTGCACACCACTGGCCTTTGCCGCCTTGCACCATTCCCCAAGCCACACCTCTCCTTCCTTCCTTAAAGCTGGCATCCCATTGTCTCATTCCTTCCTGAAGCCTTGCATCCCATACCTTCTGCAAGCCACACCTCTCCTTCCTTTGTTGTTAGACTATGTGGTATCACCATGCCTAGGTTGAAAAAGTTCTCTGAAGCCTTCAGAAAGCAGGTTATAGATGCTTATGAGTCTGGGAAGGGATTTAAAAAGATCACAAACAATTGGTCATCAATCATTCCATTGTCCAGAAGATCATCTACAAGTGGAGAAAATTTCAAATAGCTGCCAACTTGCCCAGGCCAGTCTGTCCCAGTAAGTTCAGCCCAAGAGCAGAACGCAAGTTGCTGAAAGAAGTCTCTTAAGATCCCCAGAATTTTATCACATTATATACAGGTAGCTCTTGCTTAGTGATGTCAAAGTGCATGAGTCTACCATTAGAAAGAAGCTGCACAAATTAGATCTACATGCAAGGCGTGCCAGGAGGAAGCCTTTGCTGTCCAGAAAGAACATCAGGGCAAGACTAAAGTTTGCTCATTAACACTTAGGCAAAGGCCAGGACTTCTGGAAACAATGTGCTCTAGACAAAAGAGGCAAAGAAAGATTTGGCCACAACACCAGAGGACGTGTTTGGTGAAAACCAAAGACAGCATTTCACTAGAACTCTAAAGCATGGTGTTAGAAATGTGATGGTTTGGGGCTGCTTTGCTACATCATGGGCAGCTCACCATCATAGAATCCAGTAGGAATTCTTCATTGTATCAGAGGGTGCTTGAGGATAATGTGAAACCAATTGTTAGAAGCTTGAAGCTCAACCAAAAGTGGACCTTGACAATGATCCAAGAAAAAAAGCAAGGATTTTTTCCCACTCTTCCATGCAGAATTTTTTCAGCTGTGCAATATTTGAGGGGTTTCTTGCATATACAGCCTGTTTCAAATCACAACATCTTGATGGGAATGCCCAAAGATACGGCCATTGCAGTGTCCCTGCAGTCACATAGTCAAAATTTGGGCACTTGGCAGCCTGCCTGCCCACACTTACAACTGCAGGGGCGCTGCAACTCCCCCCCACCTGCCTATCTCCTGCAGCCCTAGTGCCCCATGCAATCCTTGGCCCATTTTCAAAAACCATCTCTTGGTAATCGGTTCAGAACTCTGATAAGAACAATGACAACCTGGAATGAGCTGTTGATATTTAGAGATGGGTGTTTTGTCGGGACCAAAATCCTGCAAGACTTGGGATTTCTTTTCCTTTCTTTTCCTTCCCCCCCTCCCCTCC